CTCATCAAAACTTTTAAAGTTTTTAAACTATATTGTTACTAGATACAATAATGTAATTAATTCAAGTTTTAGACTGTTTAGTGCTTTACTTCATGTTTAAAACTTTTATAGCCTTCCTTGACTAAATATTCTTTGGGCAAATGTAGGAAATCATAGATATTTTCACATGTGTCTATGTTTTGCTTAATTACTTCAAATTGTGATTTTTTGCTCTAAAATTCTTAGTTATATGGACCCACAAAAAACATAAATATAACATAATGCAATTTTGTAGTACCAGCTTAAAATCATGTGCTTTGTCCATTTAAATTTATTATAATATTGTTGGTTATTCCTACTACTTAGGCATCAGTTAAATGAAATTAATGTTGAATGATTTATATGTTAAAGACTAACAAGTATTTTTAGAGTGATAATACTAAGTTAAATTGGCAGTGCACAAAGAAATTGATAGCAAGTCCATAATCTGAATATGTATTGTTTTTTTCCTAAAAATATTTCTCTTTCTCTAAGATTTCCTGGTTATGTTCCTCTACCCATTTATTTGGTTCTTATTTCCTTTGCCTTTATTTACCATGAATTGCTTAATTTTGATTTTCATGTTGAGTAGTTTCTCTTCAATCTATCCTGAAATGAAGATATGATTGTTTGCTCCTGAAAATTTATGTGGTCTAAATGTTCCAACCCTTTTTAGAATTTTCCAAGGAACCCTGTACTCATCTGGTTTTAAATTGGGCAGAGCTATTTCTCCTTTATTTCTGTATTAAAATTGGCTCATTGGTTCCAGTGAATAGTGTTTGGACTTTTTGGATTTTCCTGTTATTTCCTCTTTTTCTTCCCACACAGACACTGGTATCATGTTACAACTTATGTCTGTGGTTTATGTACACCTTTCTGTGTTTTTGCATTTAAGGGACTAATTAATATGTCAGTTAATTTTTGTTGAAGTTATTGCCTATTTTTAAAAAAAATATCGCAGTTTGTATTTTTTAAAATATTACACTTGCCGCATCTTTTTAGGTGGGCATTCAGGAATGTTGAAAACTAGGCAAGCAGTATCACTGACTACCTAGCACACTGCCTCATGGATTGTATTTTTAAATTTTTCCACTGCTTCAGCTAGTTTTTGTCATATTTGTATTTAGTTAAAATTTAATTATATTTGAATCTGATAATATAACCTAGAAGACTACTATTTTAAGAACTAGTTTACATTGTTTCATTTTTCTTTATATACTATTGTTCAAAGAAAAGATTTCTTAAAAGCCTTTGTTCCAGAGTATTCTGCTCTGATTCATACAGACTTCACTGGAAGTTCAGTATGTAGTTTGTATTTTCTCCTGGTCTGTATTCTCCATGTTATCCTTTCAGATTAAAATCTCCAACACTTCATTGGAAGTACATCTATTTAATTTTGAAGTTCATATTGCCAGATATCATACTCGTATTTCCAACTTCATCTTACTTAACAGACTAAATCGACCAGTACTTTTTCCTTGTGCCATTGCTCTTCCTTTACAATCTCAGCATAATGGTCTCCTGTTTTCCTCCTGGATAATTTTACATATTTCAAACATTTTAGTTCTAATAATGGGATACCCTTGAGCTTACTCTTAGACTTTATTTTTCTGTTGTCTAGCCTATTTTCTAAAAAATACCATACAGTTTCTCCTGTCTTTTAAGAAATATCACCCTATATATTATTTTAAATGACATTTACCTTATTTTTATTTTGACTTCCAAGTAGTTAAAATTAACCTTTCCAAACTAGTACTTAATAATTTATTTTTAAATATTTTATAGGTATCTCATATTTAACATATTATAAACATGCTTTTATTTCTTTATCTATTAAGTCATATGGACCTTCTCTTGTCTTCTGCTTCTTATTAAGTAGAATGTCATCTGCCCAGTTGCTCAGAGCAATCCTAAATATTCCTTCTGAGTCCTCCCTTTCATTCATCTGTCATATCATATTTTTCAGCATGTTTTCTCTCTCTAGACTAGGTCCCTAACTACTTACTCTTTTGTCTCCATGACTACTTCTGTTATGTAAATTATTATCACCTCATATCTAGAAAAATCAAATATCCTCCTGTCTTAGCTCCTCACTTTCCTTTACTATCTATGTCTTTCCTACCCAGTGTGATTTTCTCTTGATAAATCATGTAACTCCATACCTCAAAACCTTCAGAGGTTCCTATTGCTCTTATAATATGTCGAAAACTATCATGGCCAGGGACTAGGGGATTATTTCCCACTTGCCAATCCATATGTATTGGCACCTACTCTGTCCCCTGAGCTCTTGTGACTTCCCTTTAGTTGTTTAAAATATGTATAGCCTAAGCATCATCTTTATACTTGGGATGCCTTTGCCAACAGATCTTTGTGGTGGCTTTAAACATATTATTGGGATATGAGCTATATGTCCTCTGTAGTCCTGATCTAAATTAGCCACACAATTACTTCATCATATCACTTTGGTTTTTTCCTTCAGAACACTTACTACTGTTGAAAATTATGATACTCACTTAACAAGTATACCTGGTTGTTTTCTTTCTCCAGTTATTGGAAAGCAAGCTGCAGGAGAATAGAGACTTTTTTTTATTTCTTTGAAATTAATTTTTGGTCTGCTTGATCAGATTAATTCCAAAAGAGATATACATCTTAAGAATTTCTTCCTGTCAAATTCTGTGTGTCCAGACATTGTATTTCTAATTATTTTGACTGTGTTTTTGGTGCTTGTAGGTGTATTATTGTGAAACTTTTTTTTTTTTTAGCTAGGTATTGACTGAATTTCACTTCATTTTAAATATTTTGTTCTGTGTGTTTGTTGTTATTGTCTTTTTTTAGTTTCTCAAATTTTATTATTTTAATATATACATTTCACAAACAGAAACCCTCTTAACAGCATGCACAATTCCATAACCAAATGGTTCAACTTTATTAACATTTTTCAACTATTTACACTCTCTTCTAGCAACAAAAGTGCACTTCAATTCATCTTGACAAGATATACTTACCAACAATCTGTTTGGGGTTGATTTTGAAGTTGCCCATCAGTTATGTTTCCTTCTAATCTGGAATAATAATAAAGTAAACAGGACATGGAGATTAAATAGATTAGGCACCATCTTATTTTAGGAACCAAACACTGAACTAGAGCACTTTCTCCTCATCTCTTCCATAACCTCCAACTAAAATAGCTCAACAGGTGTTAGCAGGAAACTAAATAGAAAAGCAAAATGGGGTTACCAGCCTAGGCATAGAACAGATTGCACTTAGTTTTGCACAACTAAATGAAAAATTTCAGCCAGTTAGTTTTTGTAGTCTAATAAGTTATGAATCAATCTGTTAGTTTAGTGGTTTTTAAGTCTTTCATAATACTTTATATTTTAGATAAAATGTTTCCCTGTTCTAGATAGGTTTAGCACTGCAAACAAGAAAACAATTGATCTTCCTCATTTTAGAAAGCTATTTAATTTTCATGGTGTTATTTCCTTGCATTGAAATCTGGGACAGATGTAGAGCTCATCTCCTTTGGTTTCAGGGATTAAAGCCCTCCTTTGTCACTTGTTCATTGTCTGAAATTGATTGTTTTATATATTTTCTTTATTTTTTAATTGTTTAAAGCAGGAGAGAAAAGTCATCTCTTTTAGTCTATTTTGACAAAAGTAGAAATTCTGTTACATATATAAAAGATTTTCATAAAAGATTATTATAAGAAAATGACAGTCCCTAGAAGAATAGTCAATACCTTAATTGTTCAGCCTTAAACTATGTGAAAAAACTTATATTGACCACCTCATTTATACATAATATTAAAATGCAATAAAGTGTATTATACCTATTATATGCCATAAAAACAT